GCTGACCATCCCCCAGAGGTCTCCCAGGGCAGTGTGTGTGGCTTTGGTGAATTTACGAGTCCAAGGCATAGCCTTGACCATGATGGCTTAGAGATCACACAGAGCACAGAGCCACTTTTCAGTAGCCTGTGCGCCTCACCTCCCCCTCCTCCTCATTGGACTCCAGTCTTGGGCCTTTCTTTCACACGCAGAGCACGCCCCTGCCTCAGGGCCTTAGCATGTGCTGCTTTCCAGGTATTCACACGCCTCCCTCTCTCACTGCCTTCCTGTCTCTGCTTAAGCGTCAGGCACGAGGGCAGCCTTCCCTGACCACGCTCTGTGATCAAACCACCGCTCCTGCCTCCACATCGTGTAGGTTGCCAAATACAGCAAATAATATCACTAGATGCCCAATTAACTTTGAAAGTCAGATAAATAATAAGAATGTTTTCAGTATTAGCATATCCCCTGCAATGTTTGGAACATATTTATACTACAAAGTACTCCTTCTTCATCTGACCACCCTCTGTGACTGGGTGCCCCGTATTTCATGTTGCAAGCCTACTCGCATGTCCAGGATCTGTGAGGCCAGACGTGATGGCAGCTCGTACTAAAGAGGGGACAGTGGAGACGGAAGAAAGGGGAAGAACTGGTACAAGGATCACCAGGACGTGACAGTTGACTGAATGTAGGGAGGAGGGAGGGGGCGGCTCAGCTGAGCAGAAGCGGAGTTTACTGAAACGATCCACGAGGGGAAGAAAACGATTTAACAAGGAGTAAATTCATCGGCGGTGAGAGAGGAGGAGTTAGAAATGTTCCCTTTGAGGTGCCATCAAGAAATTCAAATGGGGGAGTCACTGAATAGACAGAAAGGTGGGTAGGAAAGAGAGGCCCAGGCTCCTGGGGGTAAATCTGGGAGTGACTGGCAGAGCAATCATATGGAAAGCCACAGGGATGGGTGAGGTCACACAAGGAGTGAGACGAGAAGAGAGGAGGGGCTGGGACCAGCTCCCAGGAAGGGGCAACAGTCCTCGTCTCTGTCAGTTCTTCCTATTTCTTCGTATCCTTGGGAGTATACATAATCTATTACGGAATTATTATTACCCGTAAAATCCCAATTAAAATCTGTCTAGTTTCGTAGACATTCTGTTCACCACTCTCTCTTTTCTAACCTGCATTAAGAAGCATTGTTTTCTTCACCTTTAGTGACAGACTCACGACACAGCACTTGCGTCAAGAGGACGGGTGGGAAGATGAAGAGCAGCAGTTTGCCACAGATACACAACGGGTTTGCCTTCCTTTCAGAAATGGGTCAAAATAAGGGAATTTCAGAGTTTTGCATTTTTTTTTAAAAGCTAAAACAGACTTCCTATTGGACAGAGGGGGAGCACGGCTTCTCATTGCATTGTCACCAGAGGCCGTCTGGCCCCTGTACACGGCATATTTGACAGTGCCTCCAATAGGACTAGAAAGCATCCTGGGCTTGGGGAACAGCATTGGTTAACAAAAATCGGTAAAGTACATTGGACCAGAATATAACAAAACTAATATGGAAAAGTGACCAAGCAAGACAAAAAGGGAACACAGCTATTTTAACAGAGAGGTCACAGAAGCTCCCCTCCTTATTTTTTATCGGAAGCTGGTCCCCTAAAGAAGAACACCTGGTCAGGAACGACAGCCCTTATTTAATAACTGCGAGGCTTCTCTCCACTTTCAAAACTGAGGAGCCATACAGGACGCGCGTCAGGAGTCAGATGCTTACGTGGTGCCATATGAAACTCGAGGAATCCTTAAAAACACAAAATAAAACTCTCTACAGTTTTTACGACAACATACTGTCTGCTCTGAATTTCAGAGCGCAGTGTTTGTCAATGAGTAAAAGCCAAATTTCAGAAGAATGGTTTTTTCTTATAATTAATAGAAAACTAGGTTAAAAGGGTTTATGCGTATAGTTTGGGGCCTAAGTTTACAATCAATTCAATCTATTCACGTAACTTGAAACTCTACCACAAGTAAAAGAAAAATTATGATTTAAATGGCATTCTATCATTTCTCTCTTTGTTTAGTCTGGGGTTTTTTGCTGCTTTTCCTTACTCAGGTTTTCTCCTTTTTATTACTTTTGATGATAATTCAGTACTTTTGTCTTAGATCAGATTAAGGAAAGTAGAGGAAAAAGGGGAACCTTTAATTATTTGATACATAAGCTTTCATCACAGAGGAAAGTCAGGTAACTGATTAAAGAGAGTTTTGAGATGATCTACACGACCCTCATTTTTTAAAACAATTCTCTCCCCACCCTCTTTCAACAACCAAGCTGACACTGCCACATTCAAATGGAAGTTCAGCTTCGGTATGAAAATATGCAAATATGCCTTATCTCATAATTCCAACATGTAGTAACATTGATGAAAGGATATGAAATAACTGAATTCTTAATAACTCCAAGATTTTAAAATTCAAGTTGTTACTGAATCTCTCCATATTACTCTTGAATTCTGTCCCAACTAGGATAATATTCCAAGTAATCATTAAACAGACCATAGAGGCAAAGTAAAGCAATTAAAACACTCCAATTTATCCTTTGTCTATTTAGGTTTAACAGTAGACTATTGACAACTTCACAGACTCCAGAGTTGAAACCCTAGCCTCTCTCTCAGATTTGTTATATTTTATTTTTAGATGTAATCACTTCCCTCCGGTAAATGGTTAGTGACCACACTCGCAGGTCTGCACATGAGGAAACTAAAAAGGGAACCTTGCCCTGTGAATCAGACACAGTCAAGTGCCTGTCCTGGCGTGCCCAGCGTGTCATATTCTTCAATAATCCTTGTGACAGCACTGCGCTGACATGTTTAATTAATGCCACCGATACTTGAAGTTAAGCAATTTCCATGACACGATCGGTTTGTGTTGCTTCAGGAGCACCTTCTACCAAATGGCACGATAAAAGTCAACTCTGAATTTTGTCCTTTATTAATTTCCCTTCGTGCTTTACGTGACATGAATCTTGTTAGTGTTCAGATTAATTTTGAATTCACACTCAGGCGATTTTTCAGAAAGATGAATTTGGTAAATTGGACCAGTATATATGCATTTTGGTAGTCCTACACACAATACGACCTGATTAAAGAATTGAGATGTCAAAGCTACAAAAGCAAAACATCCAGGGGAATCCCAAGATAGGGAAGTTCAGTTACGCAGGATGACTAAGCTCGAGATCTTCCGTGCGGCGCTGCGCCCAGATTGACAACACGGTGCGTTACACACTGGGGGATCTGTCAGCAGCGTAGATCACATCAAGTGTTCTCATCACAGTAAAAACAAAAAAGAGTTACTAAAGGCAAAAAATAACAAAGAAAATAAGTAAAATAAAAGGAACCTGGTGGCATAAGATGCAAGACAACTAGCTGAGAAAATAAAAGAAAAAGAAATGTCAGTTAATTATCCCCAAGGTGAGATTTCCCCAAGCGTGTTCCTCAGACACGCTGCATTAGATTCACCTGGGGGCTTGCTAAAGACGTAGCTGACTGGACCCCACCGGCCTGCCCTCATCGCGGCATCTCTGAGAGTGAAACTGGGGAATCAATCCCCAGATCATTCTTGCTCGCACTGAGACTGGAAAACCATTCATGTAGCTCCTTCAGATGATTGCTATCATCGAGACCATGCATTATGCACGGCATGTGCCTAAAAACTGTCTTACTTAAGCAAAGATTCATTTTCCTTTCTAGCCAAAAACATCCTATCCTCTTAGATTAAGCGGGAAAAGGCATTACCTACCATGTCCCTTAAAAACAAGAGAAGTGAAGAAATTAGGAAGAGCAGCAATATTATCAGAATAAACCCCTGCCCGAAGCATTTCTTTTTGCCATGAGGTACTCCTGACTTTTATTTCTCACTAAAGAAAGTGTTCCCCTCAAAAGTACGACAGCCACAGGATGTCATCTATACAATGGTAGAATATTCAAACCGTCACATGAATTCTTTCAGGAAATGTACTCCTGCCAAACTAGTAAGAAATCATAAACACAAAACCTTCTGAGAGACTAAGATGTGTTATATCTTTATAGGAGACTGGTTTTATTTTATGAGCATTTTAAACTCAAAATTCTCTATTAGAGTGTGTTTATACCTGTTTAGCAAAAATTAGTAAAGCCATATTCAAAAGGATAAGCACAATAAAACTCACAGTCTCAGAATACATCATCACATGTGACCATCGTCAGAAGACGTCACATGGAACCCTTTGCACCGAAGGAGGGTCGAAGTTCCTCCCTGCTCAGCAAACGGCTTCTTCACTGTGTCTGGTCAACTCTGAATGTGACGTACACCTAGACCAGTAACTCACGCTACTCAATGTTCAAGAAAAGTCCTCCAAATTAGCCGCATAATCATTTTCAAAAATAAGAGGTGGAAATAAATGTTTCAAATTGCTTTCAAGCCCTTTGGAAATATTTATGAGGTTGATAAATTTAACAACTGCAAGCAAATATTATCTATTTAGTTCAAAAAACACTCCACCGACTGTTAATCTTTTGTTCGCCTCATCTGAGATCCTATAAAACTTACATGTAATTAAGCTGGATTCCCTTTTAAATCTCCTATTCTCCTTTTCACTTTTCCCTAATTAAGATTAGATATGTCCCTGGTTAATCCTAATTAGGGATATGTTTCCATACTTATAAGTTGAATAACTTGAATAATTCATAACTTAAAGAGGAAAGGGAGAAATATACACACAAAGAGATGCACACACATATATTTATATTTGTGAATATCAGTGAGAGAAATGAAAGGCTATGTAGACTAATATGCATATAAAAAAGGAGGTGATTTTAGAAATTCTCAATGTGCGATGTGAAGGTCACTGGGAGAAAACGGTGAATTATTATTTATTTTGTACTAGTCTATTTAATCTATGCCTCTTCAACCTTAACCAGACTTATTTTAATGATTTTTTCCAAATAATTTACAGAGTGCAAATAACATTTGGTGACAGGACAAAGAGGTGGCCTGGATACCTTGCTTGTCCCTGACCGTCACGGCAGCGGAAGCCGGGAGCAGGAGCACTGCCACCCAGAGCCAGAGCTTCAAACAGCCAGAGTGCCTCATGGTACCTCGAGACCATGTGAACGAGTGGCCACAGACCTGCAAAGAAACAAAATATCTGACTTGAGCTTTTTGTACACAGTCCTCGCCATCATTATCTCCAGAAAATCCTCATCACCAAAAAGAAAGCAATAGATTTTTACATTACATATAATTATATAATTGGATATATGATTACATATTAATTATATATAACATGTCAATATATACCTTAATGTGCATGAAAGAGCTCTGAAAATATTTTCAGATTAGTTCCCAGTTAATTATCAGTGTCAACACAGCCTCTTATAACTTAAATTTTCTCTTCTTTTAAATGCTTTTTTTAAAGCCACATCACTTACAATGATTTGTATGTATTTTTTTAAAATTCACAGTAAAACAGAAATATCATAAAATTTACCATCTTCACCATTTTTAAGTGTGCAGTTCAGTGGCATTAAGTATATTCACGTTGTTGTGTAATCATCACCACTGCCAATAACTCTTCTCATCTTGCAAAACTGAAACTCTGTACCCATTAAACAATAACCCCCATTTCTCCAACCCTCAGTCTCTGGCAACCACCATCCTACTTTGTGTCTCTATGAATTGAGTACCCCAGGTACCTCATATAAGTGAAATCATACAGTATTTGTCCTTTTGTGACTTTATTTAATTTAGCATAATGTCCTCAAGATTCATCCATGTTGCAGCATGTCAGAATTTCCTTCCTTTCTTTTTTTTTTCTGAAGAAGATTCACTCCAAGCTAACGTCTGTTGCCAAACTTCCTCTTTTTTTTGTTTGAGAAAGATTAGCCCTGAGCTAACATCTATGCCAATCTTCTTCTACTTTGTATGTGGGTCACCGCCACAGCATGGCTGATGAGTGGTATAGGTCCACATCTGGGATCTGAACCCACAAACCCAGGCTGCCAAAGCAGAGTGTGCCAAACTTGACCACTACACCACAGGGCTGGCTCCTCCTTCCTTTTTAAGGGTGAATAATATTGCACTATATGTGTAGACCATATTTTTTTTTGCCCATTTATCCATTGACAGACACTTGGGTTGCTCCCATCTTTTAGCTATTGTGAATAATGCTGCTCTGAACATGAATGTACAAATATCTGTTCAAGTCAGTGCTTTCAATTATCTTGGACGCATACCCAGAAATGGAATTTCTGGATCATATGATAATTCTATTTCTAATTTTTGGAGGAACTTCCATACTGTTTTCCATAGCAGCCGCATCATTTTACATTCCCACCAACAAAAGCATAACAGTTCCAATTTCTCCACATCCTCATCAATATTATTTTCTGTTTTTGTTATTTTAGAGCAGCCATCCTAATGAGTGTGAGATGGTATTTCACTGTGGTTTTGATTTGCATTTCTCTAAGGATTAGGGATGTTGAGCATCTTTTCATGTGATTATTAGCCATTTGTATATTTTCTTTGGAGAAATGTCTATTTAAATTCTTTGCCCATTCTTTAATCTGGTTGTTTGTTTTCTTGTTGTTGAGTTACATGAGTTCTTTATATATTCTGGATATTAACTCCTTATCAGATGTATGATTTGCAAATATTTTCTTCCATGTTGGGAGTTGCCTTTTCACTCTATCGGTTGTGTCCTTTGCTGCACAAAAGTTTTTGATTTTTAGGTAGTCTAATTTATCTATTTTTTTTCTTTTGTTGCCTGTTCTTTTGGTGTCATATACAATTATTTATATTTTTAAAATATAAACTTATTATTCACAATTCTACTTTTTCTGCTGAATATTAGTTTTACATATTTTGGCTTAACCAACATCATTACATTTTCTATAAACTTAACTATGTTGTTACTGGTTTGAATAATTGCTGCTACTAGAGTGATTACTGCACAAGTGACAAGTAACCTTTCCTTCTATTTAAAGAGAAAAATGGATGTATGCAATGCCTGCCTCACCTGAGCCTGCCCTGGGCATCGTATTTCATATTAATGTATTACTCCCATGATCGTTTGTCTTTCTGAACGTGGGCTACTACTCTACAGGTATTACAATAAAAGATTTAGCAAATAGAATCCTCGTAATGGAAAACTTAAACATTACCTTAATTTACTATAATGAAGTAACCAACATGGAAATTGATTGCAAGTAAAAATATAGTGGCTCCCTCAGCGTATTTGACAACTGTGGTATTATTAGAATAGCTATTCTAAGAGCTCTAAATATGCAAATATTATTATAGTTTTTATTTGCTATCATTCAAAGTTTACTCAAGAGTCAAATATAAAAGAATCCACCATATCAATGCCTAAATGTTGTCAATAGACATTCTTAGAAAAAAACTAAAGCTATCATCTTTGGTATTCTGCGTGTGCCAAATACCCTAAGATTAGTATTTTAAAACTAATTCAAGATTTTAGATATTTCTGGATGAATAGCTGGAAGCAGCAATTGCAATATTAAAACCGTATGTGCAGTTCTAAACATCAAACAGCTGGTTTTATGCCTTATTTCTTTTGAACTCTCTCATCTAGATAAAGCCCTAATCCTCATATGACTTTGCAAACTTATCCTACCTATTATGTCAAGTCAGTTGGTAACTGTTAAAACAATTAACTCTATTTCAAATTAATGAACTCACAAATATTGATCTAACTTTCAGAGAGATCCTCGGTTGTCTGCATTTTTACCCAAAGTGATCTTTATTATTTGATAAATTAGCAGGGTAGTTTAGTCGTTAAAACCAAGGGTTCATGTCTGGGCTCTGCTCCTTATGAACAAGTTATGCAACTTTCCTAAGCCTTCATTTATTCACTTGAAATTGGGACTAATAGTAGCAATAAATTATTTAATACCTGGAAAGAGTGTAGTAGAGGGTCTTGAACACAGTAAGTGTTCAAAAACAGTACCTATTATAATTGTTTGATCTGCATATTCATAAATAATAATTAGTAAAAATTCACAATTATATTTATCTCCTCACCTGAGGTTGATATTGATATTTGCAGAATAGAGAAGTGCCAAAGCATCCTAGAAATATATGTTCACTGAAGCTTTGGTCCCTGTTACAGCAACAAAGAACCAGAGAGTGATATGCCATAAGTACATGAATTCAACCTTGACGTCTTCTATCTCTTTGAGCCACTCAGAGGATGATAGCACTTAGCTCCAAGCTCACTTATCCAGAACGTTTGAAGAATAAGATGTTATGGTTAGTCGACTAAACGTTCCAGTTAGCAAAGAACTGCCATTCCACCACTCCACTGAAATGTCTCTAGCCAAGTTCAGCAAGAACTTGAAAGAATCCTTTTCTCTCTCCGTCTAATTCAACTCCCAGTGGCATTTCCAGTAGCTAACCACTCCCTCCTTCTTGAAACCTTCACTCTCATTGGCTTTCCTGCCTTCACACTCCCTGGGATTTCTTTCTAAACCCCCTTCTCAGATCTGTTTTCCACCTGATTTCTAGTTGGGATCTGTGGCCCTCCTCTCCTATCTCTTTATGATGTCTCCCTATGTGATTTCGCCATTCTCTTGGCTTTAAATGAAATCTGTCAGACGGTGGATCTAAAATTTACACTCCAGTCCAGTCCTCTTCTCTGAACTTTAGACTTTGTATCCAGCCCCCTACTCAATATTCCCTGTTAGATGTCACACTAGCATCTATATCTTAATACAAATTAAATGCTTGATTCTTAACCACAACTTGTTCTTCTCATGCTCCTCCCAGTCTCAATAAACAGCACCCATTAAAATGCTCAAACCAGAAACCTAAGCACCACATTGATTCTTCTGTCTTCCTCATCACCATCTCCCACATCCAAACCATCAACAAGTCATCTCAGGGTTGCCCCAAACACATCTCAAATCCCTCGATTGCTCCCCACTCCCCTGCCGGTAAGGATATGAAAAATATTGGTCACACATGGCCTCATTTTCTGAAACAGAATTTCTTTTAAATATGGCATTTTATTTTAATGCTTATAATAACCTGAGAGGCAGGCATGCCTGCCCCTAATATGAGCAGGGTGTAGGGCAAGAGATCCACAGACCAAGTCTAAATGTGTGAAAGTTAAAAATAAAGCTAATAAAACTGATAAGAAAGATATGTTTTCTCCTTTTATCTTGACAAATATACCCTCATAAAGATCTGAAAGCCCAGGTCAAGTTTAGAATTGAACACAGCAGGCTCAAACAGATGAACTGGCTTCTGGCCTGGACTAAAGCTCGTCCCTCATTTTTTTCCATTCCTAGCTCCATCTGTACCAGGAGGGGCTTCACTCACACATATTGGAACATTCTAATCAATCTAAGCTCCATCCACAGCACCTGCAAACAGCCCCTCCTTGACCACCCCCTTTAGCCTACGAGTGTTCACACCAGTAGCTTGGTCTGTCCCTGTGAAGATGGGCTCAAGGAAGAGGGCCACCAGATCCTGTAGGAAGACTAAGGATCATTCAGTCAGGGAATTTCAGGATCCTGGGTAAACTTAGAAGCTTGGGCTTTGGGTGGGCAGGTTCCCTTACCTCTGTGGACTCCCAACCCTAAGAGCAAGCACATATCTAGAGCAAGACCATATGGGGCCTTCTCAACTGTAGGGCCCACAGCAGGGACCCTCCAGCCAGGGCCTAAAGATGGTACCAAAGACAGGTATCAGGTTCCTATCCCACAGGTATGAGACTTTAAAGCTCATAGAAAAGATCGAGAGCCTGGGATTCAAGTCCAGGTCTGTTTGACTAAAAAGCTTTGCTGTTACACCGTGATGCTTATTATCAGAATGTGGGACAGACCTATCACATTCTATACACTTCCTTTTCGATTTTCAGTTATTCTCTATCAAGATTCTATCCAGATGCCAGACAGTTCTTTCCAAGCACTACAAAATACCAAAGTCATAATTGTGAGTATGCCCAGCACTGGCAGTCTTGAGCAGACAACTCTGCTGGAGCCTATGAACCCTCTAAAATCACCCAGACAGACCTGCCTGTAACTGATTTCCCATTGCCATGACAACAAAGAGAGAGTGGCTGCCTGAAGGCCTGGCTCTGACCTCTACCTCTAGCCAATTATTCTCACCATCCTGGACCAACTGGAATAGTTTTGGGGACTGGTTGGGGTAAGGGAATAAAAAAAAGTCACTGTCTCTCAACTTCCTTTATCAAGCTCTTGAAATCCTATACGGTAACTATCAAAACTAAAGATATTTGAATTAGGACAGGAATTTTTAAAAATTCCTTATTAATCTGTATTTGTGTACAGAAAGCACAAAAATGTCAGAAAGGAACATTGGGAAACCTTAATCTTTCATTCCATCAGTAGGATGAGGTTCCTGCTCTGTGCCTTTGGGGATACAGCAGTCTCTGGGGTACAGCAGTGAGCCAAACAGGAGTCCCTGGTGGCACTCTGGCCAGGGAGAACAGAAGTAAACAAACAAACACATAGATTGTCTTTGAGAGACAGAGACTAAGAAGTAAAGGAGAGCAGAAGAAGTAGCTAGAATGATGGAATGTAGGCTTGCAGAGATGGTCAGGGTTCTCTCAGCACAAGCTTGTGAGCAAACCAAACCAAATCTGCCTATGGAACATGAATAAGTTTACTGTTATGCCATCTAACATTTCATAATGCTCATTTTGCATCTTTGAAATCTGGCATTAGATAAAGGGTCAGAGCATTAGATCTAGTACCGAAATAGAAAATAAGATGAAAAAGACAAGTGAAAGAAGAAGAGAAAATAGAAAGGGAATACTGGTTCTCTTTATGTAGGCTGTACAATGAGCAACACAGCATTTCAACTTTCAAAAAAGTAGGTTTGATTTGTTAAGTGACTGAAAGAACCCATGTTTTCAGAGCATTCATTACAAAGAGAAGTGCTGGGTGACTGGGTAGGGGGTCAATTTTTAAATCAAACCTTCCTGACTTCCCTCCAGTATGCCTCTGCATAACTCCACCAAGAAAATCTGGCCATACTGTTATGAAGAGACACATCTTGTAAATAAGTAAAACAACAGGTGTTACACATCTGTTCTTTAACCAATCTTTAGACTCTATCTTTAGTGAAGCTATACTAGAGTCTAGGAACTACCGGAGAAAATCAGTTGAAAAGTCATTGCCACAGAGTTAAAAATCCAAGCCAATAACAGGACAAATATCCCCAGAGTTTAGGACTAGATCTAGCATTATTGCATAATTTTATCATTGACTGTAGTAATGAAAATGAAATTAGCTTGCAGAAGTCTCTTGCAGCTTAGGCAGGGTTTCTGCCCTTGTTATATTCTACAGAAACCTCTCGACCTTCATATTTTAAGAATAGGCATCATCATTAACTTAAGAACCCAAGTCAGAAATTTCAAAATCATCTTCCATTCACTCTTCAATCCCCATATCAAATCTCTATCATAGCCTAATCTACTCTTACAATGTCTTTTGAATCCATACCAACTCTCTCCCCCTCACAAGAATTGCCTTAGTTTGTGTCCTTCTCATTTCTAATCTGGAAAAGTGTAATCGACTCCTCCCTACACTGCTTTCCTGCAGTCTTCTTCCCTTAATTCCATCTCCCTACTGCTTTAGAATTCTATTTCTGAAACAAAGACCTAACCACTTTAGTGTTCTGCCTTACTAAAGTCTCCCAGTGGCTTTTCATTGCCCACTCCTAAGGAAGGTACTCCAGTTTCTTCTAGAGTGGGGCCTCAACTCATAGGAGTCTGATGTCCTGTCCTACTACCTCCTTCCAAACAAACTCTGCTCCACCAACAATTCTCAAAACATGCCAGGTTTCTGCACATGCTGTTTTGGCTGTTGGAATGTCCTTCCAGTTCTCTCTCCATCTGGTGAACACTTACTCTGCCTTCCACATGCAGTTCAAAGGCCATGTCCTCTATGAAGTCTGCGGAACCCACAGAGTTCATTACTCACTGCCTTGGGATCCCACAGAGCTTCAGCACCACCTCTGCTTCAGCATGGTCTATATTGCGTTGCAATAACATGTGTGCATTTTGTCTCCTCTCCCTATTGAACAATTGTGGAGAAAAAATATTGGGTCTTATCATCTGGGTTTTGCTTAAGCTTGGCATTTAGCAGGTACTCATTTGATCAATTTGTAGGGTGAATAGTCTAAAGCAATACAATTGGACTAAAATTAAACAAATGAAAGGCTGGAACTGTTAAGTAATATATACAGATATGGACTTAACATTTATAGAAGGATTTGAATGAAGTATTATAGAGAAATACAGGAAAAAATCCTAAAAGAAGGCTCAGTGAACATAATTTCAGTTATTTAGTGAGACCAAAAAATAAAAAAAAATACTATTGAAGCTTCTCTCTTGCTTCACAGAAAATATTCCCTGGTTCTTAATGTTTTTGCTCCTCTAAAACTGATCGACTCCAACACATTCTCAAAGTTCCATGTTATTTCTCCTGTCACTTCCAAACTAGTGCCCACTTTCCAGGGCTCTCTACCTTCGAGTTCCCTTGAGCATGCCGAACAGACTCTCCCCACGCTCAGCTACTTATCCTATTGACTTGCCCCTCTGAACCATAGTTGTCGCCATCAGCTTTTTTGATACTATTCTCAATTTCAGCCATCACTACTGACCTACATTCTTTTGGATTTCAATTCGTTAGCTCTATTTCCACAGATATATCTATATCAATGATCCAGTGCCACTTAAAATGTTAAATATATATGTGCATTTTTCGCCAATCTATCAACTTTTCTTAATTTTTCCATTTGAAGGGCTCTGCTAGCTTTCTGATCTAAGAATCTTACAATGTAACGATTATCTTTGATTCCTCTCAAAGAGAGAGATCACATCCTTTGGGCTTCACAGCCCCTGCATCGATAAGACAGGCCTATTACTCCAGTCTTGCATTCACCATCTTCATATCAATTTCCAAACTCAATAGACAATGCCCTCACCTGATTATCTCACCATTGGCCTTGAAAATAACCCCCTAAAGAGCCCCTGCCTCTTGCCTCTCCTTTCCAGTCTCTCCTTGGCAGGTGCGATCTGCTCTCCTCATCTCAGGTTTCGCCCCAGCTTGGATTCTCATCTCAGCAGGCACATGACCGCTCACTCCCACCTCTAAGGCTTCACACACGCATTCCTTCTGGCTGGAATGCCCTCCCTCTTGCTCTCTTCTGCTAAGCCTCGTTATTCTCTGCCTCTTTAAGATACATGTCCTCAATGTAGCCTGCCTCAAATAATCCAACTCCAGTCCCATTCATTCTCTTTTTTCCAGCATCCTTTCCAGGTTATATATTAGCATCTCTCCAGCCCTGCTAGTCTACAGTCCTGTTTATTTTTCATTCTTCCTTTGAATTTGTATTTATGAGGCCAGTTAGCCATAGAAGCATGGTTTCTATCCCCATATCTTCTCCTGCCTCTAAAACTATCCACTCTGTGTCCCCACTGGGCATTTCTGCCTGCTGGAAAAATGAACTAAAATTGCAGCAGGAGAAATTCAGCTGGAGGACCAGAAAGTAGATGGAACTTTTCCATATCTGTAGACTACCACAGGCTCCCATCTGTTTTAGATGGTCTCCTTGGATGGCAAATCAAATAGAGAGATAACATCCCCGTTGTGACAGTAACCCCATTTGATTTTCTTTCACCCTTGTGCTCTTTCTCTGACCTGTTCACAGCAGGCTCGGGCTCACTCCCTGCTCTGCTGCGGCCCCTTTCCCCTCCTTTCCCAGGAAGCCCCACTTGGATGCCTTACCAGCTTGAGAGATCAGGCTGGACAGATACCTCCTGGAAGCGCCTGCCAGTTACTTTCTCCACTTTCTATCCCCAGGGAGAGAATGAATTTTCCAGCCCTGGGAAGCACCCTCCCCTTTTCCACCCCGAAGGGAGAGATTCCTCGTTAGAGATTCCCGACGGCAGTACTCAGGAAAAGGCTTTTAGGGACATTTTGCACCATCTGGACACCTAAACACCTCAGCCCCCTTGGCAGGCACACAGCAAGGGCCTCTACTTGGAGAGGGTCCTGCAGTTTTCTCCCCACGCACGAGCAAGGAGATGCTGAGACCACACATCTGTGCAGTCTGAAAAGTCTCTTACAGAATGACAGTAGCGCCTGATGTGGGCAGACTAAGGAGCACCATTGCTCTCCCCTCTTTTCTGTCGGGATGGGGGTGGGGGTGCCCTGAAGCGGTTTTATTTCGTCCCTTCTATTACCAGGCAGATATAAACTCCTGTTGAGTGTCCAGACCCCCCCCCCCCTTGCCATCCTGATTCTCCTCAGACTTCTCCTCCAAGCAGATGGGACCCAGGAGTCCTGCAATGAGGGTGGAAAGAGGCAGCACCACTATCTCCCTCACCCTTCCATTTCACCCCCTCAGGCTGCGGCTCCTCACCACTCTGCGGCAGCTCCTGGATGGTTCAGCTAGAACTCCACGCATTTCCAGGGTTCCACTCTGTTTTACCCCCAGCCCACTGTGCCCCGAGGCTGGCCTGTGTTCCGGTCCCCTGCTCCTCTGCACCCTGTCACTAGTCGGTGCCTCCCTGAGCCCCTGGGGCCCCTGCCGCCCGGCCTGGGCCCCAGCCCCTCGCCCCCCGACATTCCGCACGTCCCCTCCGTAACCTCCGCGGGGCCGGTCTCGGACGAGCTGCGTGCCGCCGGCGGCGGCGCCTTGGTTCCGGGCCAGCAAACTTCTCCGGGACCCCGCAGCGCCCGGGCGCGCGCCGCCGCCGCCTCCTTCTCCTCCGCCTCCTCGGGGCCGCGGGGGCGCGGGCGCGCGGGCGGCGGGGAGCGGGGCCGCGTGCCTCCAGCGCCGGGACCTTCCCGCGGGGACCGCGGGGACCACGGCGGGGACCACGGCGGGGACCACGGCGGGGACGCTGGGTCCGGCGGCGCGCGCGCTGCGCGGTGACCGAGGAGCCGGGCCGGCCGCTCCGGACGAGCCGGGCTGGGGGACCGGAGCCCGGGGTCCCCGCCGCGCCGCCCCGAAGCCGCCCTCGGGAGAAAGACCCGCATATCCGAATAGGTAACCCGGCCGCGCGTCGCCCGGTTTTCACCCCTGAACGGCCTCCTCGCTTCCCGGGTCACGTCTCCAGATATACCGAAAATTCAGATCTAACCGCATGGCTGTATACTGAGTTTGTTTTGCGCTTTTTCCCCCGGATATGTTTCTCTCCTGCCTTTGGCGTCTGTTCTCCCCGCATCAGCAGCGCTCACAGTTCCGCTGCGCAGACACACCGAGCGAGAAGCCCCCAGGAGCAAAGTCTAAGCATAACCGCATTAGGCGACCGTACGCGCATCCACGACACTATACGGAGCATACGGAAGCGGCCGTGACGGGCCAAACGTTTTGGTCCCATCTGCAGCTACCTCTGGGAATGCGTAATTGCAGGTGTGCACCAAAACCTCTTCCCGTGGGTGGCACAGTTTTTCCATTTTCTTGAAAAGCAGATGCACGCAAATGCCCAGAGACAAGAGCAGATGACAGGGACCCGGCGTGTGGGCGCAGCTTACCTCCGGCGTGGGCCGAGCCGCTCGCAGCGCGGGGGTCCCGGCAGGGCTGCGGCGCCGCCGACGAGTGGCCCGCGAGCGCCCGGCGAGTGGGAAGGGGACGCATCTCTGCCCTTATTAGTCTCTCCCGGTGTGACCCTCCCACTCCGCAGGACAGGACTCGGCCAACTCGCGCACAGGTTTTCCTTAATTACCACAGCGTCGCCTCGGAGCTGGGAGGATGCCTCTCGGGTTTGCGTTGTTAACAGCTTCGCGGACGGAACGCAGGCGAGATGCGGGTGCCTGGAGCTTCTCACTTCTGGTTATGAAGACGTGTCTTCAAAGTGTTGTGCCTGGTATTCATTCACAGGGAGATAATCGGCTTTTTAACACGCGCTAAAAAAAGGGTATCGTTTATGTGTCATTTTTCACTTCTGTGTTAGGAGTTTATGTCAAGGTAGTTAATGGAGAAAGGCTGCCCGCCTCCCAATCTAAGACGCTCATGTGTACAGTAGGTTCGCGTGGCTTGGTTTGTCTCACAGTCCACAAAAGCATTTTGTGATTTTAAATATAATTTCTTTCCATGGATTGCTCCTACAAATGCTGGGTTTTGAACTCCTGGGATCCCTTCGAACATGCAAAGGTCATATTTTTCTGCAGATCTCTGTGTAGGTATACATATGTGTATGTGTGTGTAGAGAAAGCATATATATATATTTACACACATAGAAATATATAGTAGGTATATACACATATATAGTATCTATGTATATTTGTAGGTGTATATACATATTGTTTGTGTGTGTATATATATGTGCGTGTATATATATATGAAAGAAAATAAAACCATTATAGAATTCAGAAAAGTAAGCCAGGCATTAGATAAATTGGTTTAAACATTTTTAGTTCACTATTGCCATAGTTGGGGAAATAGGATAAATTATATTAATGATTGATAATGGTGAAAATCATTAAGCTTAAAAGATACCATAAACCATAGAAATATGCTTCACATATGAGGCCTCACAGATCAGGAAGTAAGTAAAATCAGGTTGGCAAAAAATAAAAATGTTAGGGAAAATTTTAGGCAATTGCTCGTTTCCACTTCATTGAAGGGGAACTATTCAAGAGTCAACTGGTCTTCTCCATCTGTCTTTTGTCGTAATCAAAATACCTGTCTGTCATTTCAGAGTCTTTCATCTATAGTGATGCAAACCATGTTTATATGTCGGGGTTTGAAACTCCTGACGTGTTTCCGCCTTGCGTGACTTTCATCAGGACCTCTGGGCTGACTGTGGGAAGGCCAGGAGGGAGCTGGAGAGGAGGCAGGATGCTCGGTGCCTGTTTGAACAACAGGACTCCCAAACCTTCACCAGACTTCCGTGGTCATTCTCTAATTTTTTTACAATATTACCCCATTTGAATCTTTTTTCTAAGTAATAATACTTTACCTTTTAATTGCTAGTGAGTTGAAATGAAAGCATCCAGGCTTTATTTCTCCAATAGACTGTTAAATTCACCTTATTTACATTTAATTGGTACTATTTAAGGCTCTTGAGCTACCTAACAGGAAGCCCGAAATTTTTGCCTCCAATCTGTGTTTTAATACGAGTAATTCAACTTCATTTTAGCCTTATTTTTGTAGAAATTTTAATAATTTCATAATCTTTAAGATGTTTTTGAAAGTACCAAACACTGGTATATTTTTGTTTCAGTCTGCAGTTGCTCCTTTTCCTACTCACAACACTGAACTAAACAAGAGTTTGGAAGAAAGCGAGAAATGAATAAATGAAATTTGAAATTATTATTATCTATTGCTTACTTTGTTCTTGGAGACACCAACATTGCCCGATCAATAAATATTCCTGTGTTTTTCTTTCAGGAAAGGGTCCAAATCTGGGCTGGTTTTATGATCACACACTATTATATCCCTGGCTTTGTCCTTTATCTAATTCTTTTCATTGAATTTCAAAGTGACTTCAAGTAGAAAGAGCCCCTAACCAAGTGCCTTTTATTTATCTAACTAAGTACAATTATAAATGATCAGTATTCCACTTGCTTCTGAAGCCACCGCTGGTGAACGAACCTTTGAAAATACGAGAGGCATCTGACAGGACTTTGAATTCCCGCAAAGAGATTGTGGAGCTTCTAACACCTGGTTTAGCTGTATGCGTGTGTGACTTAAAAAAATTAAAAAGCTTTCAAAAACAAACTGCTCTCGATATTATGCCCTATGGAAGACACGCTTAACTACTTTTATGCCATATGAGGGATAAATTCCATTTAATGCATTAAAAAATACTGTTCTGTATTTGTAATGCCATGCTTCCATAATTTAAATGATTTAAAATGAACATTGCACCATATTTTGATAATTGCCCCATAATAAATTTGAAGAATGTGTTCTTTCTAAGCCTCACTTCACAATCTCTTCTGTTTTAACATGGCTATTTCTTTTTCCTTTTCTTCTTTTTTCTGTACTTCTGTACTCCCAGCCACATTGCTTTGCTTTTTGCCTTTTGTAATTTCTTTCACTTTTCTTCCCCTTCATAGTTTCCATTTTCCAAGAAGAAAGAATTTCAGCATTGCCCCCAGCTAACTTCTTAGTTACCAAGCCATAAGAGTGTTCATTCTTTATTGAATTTGCGGGGCCCAGCCATACAGGACTCCCATACATGCCTGGGAAACACATCGGGGCGTCCACAGTGCATGAACAGACGTCCTGTTGACTGGGGTGACCAGCTCTGACTTGTGGCTTGCATGCACTTCCCCTTCTATTGCTTTTTAAGCCAGGCCTGCATATGATAGTCTTAAGGGGAAAGGAAAGTAGTTGTATTAGGTCTAAATTAAATTGTCAAAGTAAGTTAGGGCATTTTTAAATTTTAAATGCTACTTTTACCATTGTTTCTGAAAATAATTCTCCTCCAAGAGAAAATAATATTCCGCTGGTGGTTGTTACGTGTACTTCCATTCCTGGAAGACACTCCAGCTCCTGACACTGACTCAGCTTAGAAACGAGAGGAGGAGGTGACCGGCGATGGGACTTTCACTGACTATTTCCTGGACTCCCTTCTGAGGGATCGGTGACTCTGAGAGGAAATGTGGTGAAGACAAAGGCTGGAGTGGGGCAGATGTTTATTAACACACACCCAGCTAGCAAAAATCATTTTTCAAAAAATGAGAGAGAGAAATATCCCTATAGAAAAAGAGGGAAAATGTGAAAAGCCAATTCACAAAGGAAATACAAACGGTCATTAAACACATGGAAAAGTGTTTAATTAAGTTAGTATTCAAAGAAATGCACATTTATAAAGGAATGATTTTTCCCCTACCCGTTTTGCCAGGATTAATATTAGTGATAACACACAGCGTTGGCATAAATGAGGAACATTCTCAACATCTCTGGAAGGAGCACAAAACAGTTCAGTCTTTCTAAAGGGCAAATTAGCCAAGTGTACTAAAAGCTTTAAAAAACGCACATAGAGTCTGCTTCATCAACTCCTCTGAAACAGGAACTGGGGCCATTTCTGAGTTAAGATTATGGGAGATGTTGATTTTTTCCTTTTGCTTATCTGTAAAAGATAAGGTTTCTCCACTGAACATGTCTTACTATTGTAATAAAAATATAACAGACATGAACAAGTGTGGTTTTATGTCTCCAATAAATTAGTGAGGCAGTGGTGTTAAGAGAGCCGAGAAATTCGCCCTTCAAGGACTCTTTTCAATCATTCCCAGCAGGACTCTTCCAGGTAAAAATTAGTCTGTAACTTAAAACATTTAAACTTAGTCTAGTGATTTCACCAGGAAGCGGATATTAATCAGGCTGCTCCTTCATTCAACACGTGTTTTTGGATAGATGCCTCTTAAGCAGGCACTGCAGCATCCACACAGAGGCTGAACGTGGCCCGCCTCCTGGGGTTGACCGTGCCTGCGGATGTAACAGTAACACGAAGTGGAAATACGAAGTAGAGGTAAAATGCTGGAAGAGTTCAAAGGAGACGGGAGCTGTTCATGTGGAAGGGTCAGGCTCAGAAAACTTCAGTGAAGAAAACACATTTTTGTCAGTCTAAATAAACATTCTCACAAATCATAGCATCATAGGACTGGCAGGGGCATTGTAACTAAATAATGATTTGTGAAATGCTGAGTTTACTGTTTCCATAGTGAATATTTGTTGAACGAACCCGCAGCGAACAAGCCCACTTCTCTCCTTACTCTGATGAGGAACGTGAAGTGAAGCTTCTTGTTTCCTGCTGAGCCAGCCCCTTTCCTGGCCGCGAAGCCCTGAGCAGTGGCCCTCAGTCTCCTCCTTCTCCGGTCCCCTACATGTACACTGTGCCACAACCAGATTCCCTCCTTGCAACACAGAACGATCACGTCCCATGCCTTCGCCACACTCTCATTCGTGTTGCTGCCTCCAAATGAAGCTCCAAGTGGCTGTTAAATTCTGCCAGTCATTCAAGGCTTGTGTCAGGTGTCATCTGTCACATGATTCAGTCTCTGGCCTCCTCCCACCAGATTCCGCCCCCCCCCCCACCTCTGCACGCAGAGCAATGTGCACTTCTTCAATGACAATCTCTGTTCCTCTACCTGTTTCACAGACATTTCTGTATTTGGCCCTCTGACTTGGTTGTAAATTCTGTGAGGACTAGAATTGCGTCTTCTCGTTTTTAATAATACCCAGAGCACCTTATATAATACATTACCTGTTCCTAATATAATCTTCAAATATTTCTTGAAATGAGCCCTGTAGAGGTTAAGTGACTGAGGACATACAATTTTCTAATGACAAAGTACAGACTGAACCTCAGAGTTTGTATGGAAAAGTGGTAGGCTCGCTTTGGTGCTATGTCTAAGGGAGTTAAATGACTATACTGCTAAAAGAACAATCACAGGACAGCTTGTTCTCACCTACAAGAGGCTCCCAGACTCTGAGGACAGCAACACGTCAAGACAAGATCGGTATTAGTTGAAAATGTCCTGGTCATCCTTTTCCAAACCTAAGGCAAATTTTCATTATTGAAAATTAGAACACAACTCTGTTTAATCTCTTATTATTCTTAGAACATGAAAAATGACCTCTAAGTAAACTTTTCTAACTCCTGAATGTTTATAAATAACCAATCCTATGTAAAAAATAATTTGAAAATAATAATTCAGTGTTGGCACATCATAAGTGATTAGTTAGCTAGTACATTACGTCACATTTATGCCTATAAAATTGTGATTATTTTCATTCTAATCTCTTTTTGGAATATTTATTTTCAACTTAGAACTCATTTAGCTTATTCTATGATTTTCATGGAACTGTTAAAAAAAATTGCCATGTGCTAGGCACAGTGCTAAGTGCTTTACGTATTTCGTCTTTTTAAAATCCTTCAACAACCGTACTGTCCCATTTGTACAGCTTAGGACCAAGGCTGTGACCCACCCCTGGCAGAGCCGGGATTTGCACCCGAGTCTGTCCAGTGCCTCGTCCAGGCTTTCGTCCACATGCTCTTGTCTTCAATCACTTTTTCAACGAACATCTGCAAGATCTGTTCGCAACCCTACCTCCCCCTGCAGACAGGCTCGCTGTGCTCAAGGGAGTGCAGAGGCTGCAGAGTGACATGGCAACAAATGTAATTTCCCTTACAAGATAAGGTGAAAAGAAACAAACCTGTAAGTCTGTTTAAGAGAGGAATCAGTTTTAATTAAGAGAAAAGCATGTACTAAAT